GCTAATTTTAGCTAAATGCTTTCTTTAAAATGTAATTTGCATTTGGTTTCCCTCCACGGACCCCACAAATGCTCATGTTCTCCAGGGCTCCGCCTGCAGGTTTCCTTCCTCATACTCACAGGGGATGGTTGGTGTTAGGCCCAGCTGCAGAGCTTGGCCCTTTCTTCCTCTGCTGGCATTGTACTTCACAGTTCCTTGTTCCCCATCCTTGATGCCCAGATGGATGCAGTCCTCTACCCCATTTAAGCTTTTTGCACTCAAATACTCTCCTCTTGCCTCTTTATCCTCCTCCTTCAATAATCTGTTGTGCTGGTATTAATCCCAGCCAGAGGACTGTTGTGCTGGAGACCGAGCACAAAGCCAAGGCTGGTGCCCTAAAGAGCTTAAAACCTCACTCTATTTTGGGGGCAAATTATGCAAAACAAAGCATTCACAGCATTGTTCAACAAGCTGGGGAATTTATTGAGAAATTTGTATTACGTTGAACAATTGAGCTGGACTCTTAAATAAAAGCAGGAATGATAATCCTGCTGCTAACGGCAGCGCTTATCAAGAGTAACTTGAATCATTTGACTGATTGCCTTGCTGTGTATCGAAGCCCAGCACTGTTGTGGTTGAGACCCAAGGAGCGATATCCACAGCAATGTGCTGCTGTGCCTCTGGAACATCTTTATTAATGGTGTACAGCAGAGCCCCTGCTGCTCCTGGCTCTTACCTCCAGATTTATGGCTCACTTCCACGGCCTTTCCCACTACTCTTAATATATTATAACAGCACTGTTCATACATGAGCTTTTCCTGTTAGGGAGACAGCAGCACGCTGGTAGAATTGCAGCAGACGAAGTCCCAGGGGAAGGCATTGGTGGCAGGTACAGTTTATCTGCAATCTGCAATTTTTCCAGCTGTATCCAGAATGAAGAAGTCATGCATAATTTAATATCATCTGATAACAATCATTTCATGAATCTACACTATTTAATAGCAAGTGGTCCCTTCCAGTGTGTGTGTGTGTGTGTGTGTGTGTGTATATATATATATATATATATATATTTAGCCAATCTGATGGAATTTCTTTATTAGTAAGTTCTTATTAAATTTGACAAGGTGATAACAAAAGCCTATAGAAAAGTATTATGTTTTATTATAGTCTATAGTAGTTTTCCACAAAGGTTAACATGGACTCACCATTCCTAATAATTAAACGGCAATACTTCTGCTGTGAATGGCCAAACCTCACAGTCTTGCCCTTTCAAGAACAATCCTTCACTTTATATTTATACTCCGCTTTTATTCTATGGTTTTCCTTACACTTGCAGAAATTTAGCTGTTTCATTTTTCCTCTCCAAGTAGTACTGATACGTTATAGTAAAATACAAAATAAAATCGACTGATCGAGACAATTCTAAAGCTGTCAACATATTTTGTTCCCTAACTATACATCCCAATCATCTCCAAGGTATTGTAGTTGTCTCTTGGAGTTGATAAGCCATTTAATGTATTATTCTGGTGACAGAAAAGATGGCATTTGCTACAAGCGTTTTTATGATTCAGTAGTTTTTATAGAGACTAGAAAACTAAGCAGCAGATTTACACTATAACAAAATAAAAGCTGAGATCTCATCTGCCTGATGAATGACTAAAGCAGCTTTCATCCACAGATTTTCAGCTGATCTGCCTGAAGGTGGAGAACTTATTGTTCAGGACGTTATAGCAGTACCTTGAGGCTATAATCAAATGGTGAGTTGAAGACTGCATGCATACAGGGGGTAGAAATACTGCTAACTGTGGGCCAGTTTCCATCTAAGCCAGATGGGTTAAGTCAATAAATTCAAAAGAAAAAGGAGGCACAAGGTAAAGAGAAGTTCTATATGCTTGAACACGGAGTGATGCACCAGAGCTGCTGCTCTGCTCAGCCTGTTGGCTGCTTGCTCAGGGTGTCACAGCAGAGGCTTTTTTCATTTTCAAAAGGAAGTAAATGCAAGGACAAAGGCAGTTTAGAAGGGCTGTTACATAGAAAAGATTTGGCATCAACAGACAGGCAGAGGATTACTGGCTGCCTTACTCCTTAGCAGACATATTAGCTAATTCCCTCCTCTGCCAAGCAGTGAGTCAGTGGTTGAAATGAGAGGAGGGCTCCAGCCTCTTGACTTCCCTACTCCACATCTGATCTGGGATTGCTCCAGCTGTCTTCCAGCAAAGGTCAGCTTCAGAGACCAACTTCAGTAGCAAATGCTTAAAGCATATTTGATGTGGGAGGACAAGCAAGTCAGGCTTCCCTGTGCTTCTGAAAAGGAGGGAAGCACTTATGGTACCTTCCACCAAGGGTTAACCAGGCTGTTTGGAGCCCACAAGTGTCAGCTGCTCAAATAGCCGTGAGGATGTGAAGCAGCATCAGATCTGAGCCCGTGGAGTACACAGAAAGTCCTCTGAGGCCAGTGGAAACTCTGGACAATCCCAATGACTGCATTTCTATGCATGGGCATTTTGGTGCTTTCCATATGTCTTTTAAGCTGTATGCAATGCCAGCTTCCAATGATTTGCCCTATATTTGAACTTTACTTGCAGCCTCCCACTTGCTTAGCTGTAAATGTGATTGTAACAAATCCATTTCAACCCCTTAGTTAATTTGTTTCTGAAGCCTTTCTCTTTCAGAGTGTGTAATTAAACTAAAAGAACCTGGAAAAGCCCCTTACAGTAAATAATTTACAAGTTCCTCCCAGGGGACATTTTTTAATTGTGACTCCTCTGGTCAGATCTTACTGAATACTCTGAGATAGCATTCCCTGCTGAGATCCTAAAGTGTAATTAACTTCTTCCTTTGCTCACCGTACTTTTCCTTAAACTATCCATTTCTTATGCAGGGCAGGCAGACTTGTTTATAAACAAAGTAGAGCCTGATAGACACTTTGTCATGAGAATAGCAATAATGACATTCGCTGCAACAGACAGGGGCACATCCATTTGGGGAAAGATGATACTGTTTGGAAGCAATTTTTATAAATCCTACCCTGACAATCCAGCCCTGATACAAGAGAGCAACCAGGCAGCCTAGACTCCTCTCCTTCTTGGCAGCCTGCCTTGTTCCCCAAGTGCCATTTTATGCATAGCAAACGTAAATAATTCTGACGCACCTACCAACCCCCTAACCTTTGTGCTTCAGAAACACTGTTATATACCATCAAACTGACAGTGATTTCATGTTATGTGGCAAAAAGAAAAACCCAGAGCGACAGCAGCAAGCTTCGGGTGCCAAATGAAAGCTGTCACATTTATTTAGCTCTGATTCTCAGGACAATATACATAAATATTGTTTTACTGTCCCTACCAGCCAAATGTTAAGGGCTATCTCCATCAGCCAGGGTCCTGTGGCCAATGAGGCTGTGATGATCTCCTCCTGATTCAGGAGTGGCTGGCAAGAAACACTGTGCCAGCATCTCTTGCTACCAATGATGCAGTGTATTAAATAGCTCCCTAGTTATTTCTCATTGCATTCTAATCAAACACGGTAAAAAAAACAAGAACAAAAAATAAAACAGCTTCAGAACCAACCATCACAGCTTATGGAATCACAGAACCACAGAATCATTTGAGTTGGAAAGGACCCTTCAAGGCCATCTGGTCCTACTGCCCCGCACTGAACAGGAACACCTACAGCTATCAGGTGCTCAGAGCCCCGTCCAGCCTGACTGCAGGGATGGGGCACCCAGCACCTCTCTGGGCAACCTGTGCCAGTGCCTCACTGCCCCTATTGTAAGATTTTCTCTCTTATGTTTAGTTTAAGTCTCCTTTCTTTTAGTTTGAAACCATTTCCCCTTGATTTAAGCTTCTCCTCAGCTTGAATGTTACAGCAGGAGGTCATTAGCATCTAGTTATGCTCTTTTCTGCTGATGTGGTCTCCTGATTTGTGCCAGAATTGGTGTAGCGTTCATGCAGTTGTGCTTAGAGTCATACTACCAAAACCATGGAACCATGCCTCAGGGTCAGTGCTAAGCCTCCAGGGTTAGACCTTGAGGAAGGACACCAGTAAAAGCACACTGATTTTGGTGGGCTAAAAGAATGTAGCTGCTTGAATAGGGCTGGACTTAATGCATGCATTTAAAACATTTATCAGAATTGGGATCCAGGTTTCTGCTGTGAAAAATGCTGGCATCAGCGTGGGTTTGTTGATGTCCAAGGCAGATAGTGCCATACGGCACAGGGCTCATCCTAATGTGATCAGTGAACTCTAACAGCCCTGCAGACAGACCTGTTATGCACGAAACCTGCCCCATCTTTTCTCTCTTCCTCTCCTTATGTCAAGAGAAGTTCAGAAATGAAGAAGGGATTAAAGCTCTGCCAGGACAGAAACTGTGAGAAAACAACAAAACCAGTCCAATTTTCTCATCACATTTATTCCCCTAAGGTCTTGAACTGTAAGAGCCTGCCTGCCTCCTGTAAGGCAGTGCAGCTGACAGCACTGAAGAGCTGAGAGGAGCTGGAGGCTGCTCTGCTCCATGCACCAACACTGTCATCCCAACCCATGAACACCTCTCACTCTGCATAGTTTGCAGCACACCAAGTGAGAAAATGCTTCTTTCATTTGGTGGGATGAGCTACTTTGATACAGAACCAACAGACGGCCAAGTCTGATCACCATCACTTTACTAAACAGCCCACAGTGCAAACTGCTCTCAGCTCTGTGCTCAGGTTGCAGCTTTTCTTTAAACATTGGTGGGAAGCCCAGCAGGTCAATATTAAAGGTGGGCCAGGCTCTTTCACCCCATCATCACTCTCAAGGTATTGCACTCACAGCGCCTTTTGTCTGCACAGGGGCAAGTTAAAACCTCCATCCAACCCAAAGGGATACTCTGAATGGCTCATACAAAATTACATAGGTTGAAGTAACACTGAATATTACTTTACCAAAATAATTGAGAATGCACTGATCACATCTGAGACAACATGACAAATTTACATTGAGAGAAAAGAAACAAACATATGCAGAAGTCATAAACACGAAACTTTTGTTATTAGCAGATACTCCTTTTATTGTGAGACCACTCTAAAGAGCCAAGCAAACAACCAGTGTTATTTGAATACAGAAAAATCAGCTCAGACTTTTTTGGAATCACCTTTTTCAGCCCAGCTTGCTGTAGGTCTTCTCTACAGCAGCAGGCAGTTCACTTGGAAACTGGAATAATAAAACTGTGAGTGCCACGTAGCTTGTTCCTCACAAGTATGATGACAAGAAATGACTCCTAGTTACTAAAGAGTCACATACTCTTATTTCTATCGGTTCTAGAATAAGAATTCACTACAGGTATTCATTAATTAGAAACAAATCAATGCAATTTGCATTACCGTTACCACATTTACATCGTTGTATTTTGTTGTTGTTGTTGTTCTTGCAGCTCAGAGGCAAATATGCCCCCAGCATCACATATGACTATTAGCAAAGTTCTGACTGATGGACATGTAGTCTTTGGTTGGTCACTCTGAAGGCAGGATGGTACCAAGGCACTTCTAGCAGTCTTCATAAAGGATTTCATCTACTTGGACATCATTTTCTGTCACAGGTACAGATTCACAGATCTGTTCCCTAAATGCCAAGGCAATCGTGTAAGGCTTTCCACTGGGATGTTTCATACATCTTCCAAGATAGGTATCATAATATCCTTTCCCTCTTCCCAATCTGTTGCCTTTTTTGTCAAACCCTAGGCCTGGCATGAAGATAAGGTCAAGACCGCCTGTAGAAAAACAAAATACACATTAATGGATGAGATGTGGATTTCCTGATGGCTGGACTACATCCAGATAATTTTATGCACAGCAAAAATGCTAGCTTTGTGTTTTGCAGAATGCTTCCCTTTCTTTGATCAGATGAAAAATACCTTGAATGCTAAGCCTGTGAATTTACATTTTCATCTTATCAACTGAATACTAGCTCAGCTGTAAAATAATCAGACCTTGAAAAGCTAGAAAGAAAAAAACCTACCTTATAACAAATTTATTTTATCACTTTAACCTCACACTTGCAAATACAAATGATTATGACTATAAATCTAGACAGAGATTGAACTCAGAGAAATTAAATTCAGGAAGAATCAGAAAATTAAATGAACTTCAACATTTGCCACAAACATTGAAAAAGAATAAAGAAGGAGAGAAGAAAGATTATGCTCTCTCTCGCATAAGTGAGAAAGAGCACCTTCTGGACACAGCTGTTAAGATGTCACAAACCTTTGAACACTCATCTTCCCAAAACCAAAGAGGCACAAAGACAATATATTCTGAAAGTTCTTCTTTGCCAGGTATGTAAAGGGATTGAGTTGACACAACATCCATCCACCACGCACAGTCGCAGCCACTCTGATGCTTCCCATCCCTTACACAAAGATTGTTCTTTTGGCATTAGAAATCTTGCAAGACATTCTCTGAACAAATGAATTTGGCTGCCTTGGTACTGACTGCTGAACTCAGAACACACCACTTACTAGTTTCACAGTGCAAATAAAATCCTGCATTACTTGCTGCTGCAGCAGATGGACACTTAAGGAAAGAAGGTGAGGAATGGAAGGGGAAAGCTAGCATGAACGAAAGCACAGCTAATATGAGCCTGGAAAGAAAGCAAATGCTGCATCTCCATCCTCTGTTTCTTCCTTATAGGAATAGTAATACCTTAAGAAGCACGTTCCTAATTACCTTCTGCTTCGTTACCAGAGCTGGGATGCATCAGGTATTTTTCTGCTTTTCCTACATCCAAACCAAGTTTCTGCTGCCATTTTGGACTGCACAGCTCTCACCACTTTCAGTTGAAGAACACAACTCAGCATTCAAGGAGAAACATGGAAGCATGTACTGAAAGAACCAGAGCTGAGCAGAGCTTTTCAGTTTCCAGGGAACCCCAAGTGAGATCAAGTATCAACTCTGAACTCAACTTGGAAGAGTAGACTAAAAGTGCACAGAAGACCAACTCATTTGCACATGCTTCTCAAGCTCCTGGAGATTGTCTTCCACTGCTCATCATTCAGAGAGGAGTCACTGATGTGAACAACTATCCATCATGATCTGACCAAATTAGAACACGGATATAAAATATGCAAGGCAATGCAGTAAGAGACCCTTAGAGAAGATTAATCTTATAAAGCTGGCATCGTGCAGTTAGCAAGAGTGGTTTTTTTAAAAAAAAAGGTCAAGGAAATACAAAGAGGGAATAAGCCAAAGGAGAGGCTACATAGTAATACTGTAAAAGGGAGCCCAAGTGATTCACCACAGTGCAGTCAACCTTTGTTTCATAAGAAAGACAATTGGTGAATAACAAACAAAGAAGAAAAGAGGCAACAGAGAGGAAATACAGTGTCCCCTGAAGACAGATGCTGTTTTTATGATATTACCACACAGACCATGATGCACCATGACAAACCTCAGTTTGTGAGTAAAAACCGACATTTGCCAATTGTCAGATCTATGGACTAAAATGTAAGAACCAACTGGTCTTTCCTGGTTATCATGATCAGTAATGGAGATTATGCATGCCAAGCCCTCCTGCAATTAATACTATGCTTACTCCTTGTTCTACCCATCACTTGCCTCACGCTAGCAAACCAGAGGCATTCAGGTGGCCCAGGAACCTGTATGTACCAAGCATCAATCATACTTAGAAAGAAACTCATTCTAGCATACAATTGTTTCAAGCTTTTTCACTCCATGTGACTCTCATGGCAAAAGGAAGAAAACATTTGCAGTTGCTACTGCTAGTAGGTAGGACTGTACACAAGAGGCAAATTTGCTAGGCAAAAAGGTGCCATTTCTCTTTACATCTACATCACAGACAGAAGAAAAGCAAGCCAAGGGAAGCACTAAGGGAAGGAGGAATTGGCAAGAACAGTGCTGGGAAGAAATATATTTTCTGTGTCGCTTAACTGATAGCACAGGGCATACTTGAGTGAACGTAGATGCATTAAAGCACTGTTTTCTTCTGGGTTCTCTGGAGAAATGGAGTCTGTTTTAATGACTCAGCTTCCTCTATAATCATGGAATTTTTATGCCAAATAACTCAAACAAGCTTGTGCAAATCTCACTATGAAAAACAATGCTGTAAATGCTTTAACAGCTACCCTCATTTATTTTTTTTCCATTGGAGCACTGTGATACTAAATGCCTTTACTCTGACTCACAACACACTGATTGATATCCACACAACTCACGCTGCACAAGATTTAAGTAAAATACCAAGCTAGACTGTCAGTAGAAAAATGACACAGCTGCCCTGCACCGAGCCTGAAGGCACTTCAAGAATTTGCCCCAAAATCCAACTCTGGGAGCTAGACTGAACGGCAGAAAGCTGCATGCAGAAAACACTTCCCCTCCGCACAACCTGGGGAGCAACAAAACCTCTTGTGGTGCCTGCGGCGGCGTGGGGGAAGAGCCGTCACAGGATGAGAGGTGACACACAGATGAGACCAAGATTGCAGACGTGTAAGATTACTATCAGTGGCAAGTAGACATCAACAGGATGGCAAGGGAGGGAAAGGACATCTTACTCCTAAAGGCACGTGCCCTCCTCACGCTGACCAGCCTTCCAGCCCTGCAGGATCACGAGTTGCCACTCAGGATACCCTGCAAGTTTGCTCCTTTCCCACATCCTACTTCTCTCACTTTCACTCTGTGGAATGGTATCATTGTCCCTGACACCCCATCAGTTTTTATAGGCACTGTAAATGAGGCCTTGTGATCTTCACCTACTTCTGCCCCTCTCCTTGTTATGTTTCTCTCCCCCGCGTGCCTTCAGTCCTTAACTAAAGGCTTGTGGATCCCTGTAACAATACACCAGGAGCCCAGGGGAGAAAACCAACACTCACAGTACGCTCACTGTCAAGAGGTCTTTTGCTGCAGGTAATCTGCACTCCTCCTGCAGTACTTACAGAATGTCTGCAGAATGCTAAGGGCTGAACACAGTCTCAGGCAGCAATACACTGCACTAGCCCAGCTCTCCTATGAAGAGAATACTAATGCTTCTTATAAACTTTAATTAAGCTACAGGGTATCCAAGTAAGGTTGGCAATTACAATGACAATCACCTAATACTCGCTGTATCTGTGACATGAGCTCTTGTGGCCACAGCTCCTTCTACTGTGTAGCGCTGTGTGTGAAATAATATACGCTGACTTATCAATGTGGGCATGCAGCCATGCTGACATGGCCACACAGCTTTCATTTATACAGCTAAATAAAGCAGGGCCAGAAAGCAAATTCATTTGTAAGATCACAGCTCGTCCATACCACTCAAGTAGCAGCACACTGCCTGGCACTATGAGAGACCAAAAGAGATGAGACAGGCCAAGTTCTCCATAGTGGGGACAGGGCTGCTCTGTGCCACTTGGTCTTGCTTTATTTAGCAGTATGCAGTCACAGCTTCAGAACCTGCCATGTGGCTGTGCAGGCACACTTTGTACACACATCCATGTAGACAAACCTTATGTCACAGAAAAGTGAAATGACTGGCCCAAGGACTCAGGAAATGTGTGGCAAAACCACATGCAACAGGCAGGTGTGCACACTGCGCGTCCCCCACTTAACCAGCAGACCAAAATTTTAGTACCCTCTCTCTGCTGTTTTAAATAGGGAATACAAAGTTTCATTTCCTCTAGGCAGCTGGTGAATTTCCTCCCTTCAGCAATGCATTTCTCATTACCCTTTATGATGATATCAGGTTTGATTTGTTCCCCAGGGAAAGATTTGCTCCTTGCACCTGATTACTTCTCCTCTCCTTATTCTGATGTTCCTATTTGAAATGCCAAGAGGCATTTTCTGAAGCACTCTTGACAATGGTTAATTACAGCAGGGTCCATCAGAGTGCACAGGTATGGGTCACGGAAGGGCTGCCGGGGCCTTGTCCCAGGCAAGGCAGCCAGCACGACCTCCTGTATCTGAGTCAGCCTCACCTGCCTGCTGCCTGGTGTGGGTCATGCATATCCCCTGCACAGCCAGACAGTCCTAACGGAGATGGAACAGCAGCACTGCCATCCCAGGGACACAGTAACCACAGGCTGCATCTGTGAAGTAAACATTAACTTGAGCACTGAATCCTAATATTGGAAGTACCAGTCTTGGCGACATGCAGGGTATGGGCCAATGAGTTGTAATAACTGAGAAAGTTCTAATTAATAGCAGAATCATTACTGTAACTTTAATTACCATCAGCACAGTTATGCCTTATCTCTTGGGTAGGTGCTAGCTTCTCAATGTACACTGCAGGGCACAGATCATCATCTGGTTCTGTATCTGCAGAGCACCTAACTCACTGTGGTCTAGGTTAATCACTAGATCTCATGGGAAACAATTCCACAGAAGCAAATATTTCAATTATGCTACAGGAAAACAAATTCCTTTCTTTTCATGACTAGCATTAAGCCTTCCCCTATAGAATGCCCGGAGTGCCCCTTGCACCACTGCTGAGATTGCTAACCTCCCAGTCCTTCCTTCCAGATGAAAGTGGGAAAATATTGCCTTTCATTTCAAACACATCATCTCTCTGCTACACACCTCCCTTACTCAACATTTTATCTAACTCCATGCACAACTATGACGCACCCAGCAATGTCTTTTGCACACATACATTCACCCTATCTGCTGTGCCATCTATGTGCCGCAGGTAATTGGTCTATTAGCACGACTTGGGACAGCTTTCGTTATTACTGCGATAAAATATTTTGCAGAAAATAGAGCCATCAGCAGAATCTACAAA